TTTGGTATTTTTTAGTTCCTAAGAAGTAGGCCTTGATTTTTTTTGAAACCCCACCTTGGCAGAAAAATGAAAATATTTCAGTCAGTCGTCGCCTGGCATTCGTCTGGCTCGGGTCGGCTCATCTTTTCTTATTTTTCTGCTTTTATTTTTTTAATAATTATTTTATTTTGCAATTTTGCAACTGATTTTCTTATTTATTTTTATTTTTTTGATTTAAAACAAATAAGAACCAAGGCTATTAGTCGAACTGGCGGAACTGCATCTTCTTCTACTGAAGTCCTCATATATCTGATTTTTTATTTATTTTTATTAATTTTTCTTGCCTTGGGCCTTAAAGCAGAGATTTATTTCTGGATCTCCTGATTCTTTTTTCTTATCAATATTTATTTTGTTTTTTAATAATTAATTTTATATTGCAATGGTATCTGGAACTCCACCATTATGCTACTGTTTTTAAATGGATCCCTCTAGCCCTGTTCTCCCTCTGATTTTCTTCTTAAATATTTTTTATTTTTACATTTTATTTTTTTTGTTTTACCTTGGAATCTAGAAGTTCGGGACTTTTCTTGCGGACTTTAAAAATGAGAAGAGCCATATTCTTCGGAAATCTACCATTATGCTACTGTTGCTACTCTAACCTGATTTTCTGATTTTTCTTTATATTTTTATATATATCTTTTCGTGCAATGGTCTTTAGTTCATGAAAGCCAGGGTCTCGCCGGATTTTCTTAAATATTTTTTATTTTTACATTTTATTTTTTTTGTTTTACCTTGGAATCTAAAAGTTCGGGACTTTTCTTGCGGACTTTAAAAATGAGAAGAGCCATATTCTTCGGAAATCTACCATTATGCTACTGTTGCTACTCTAACCTGATTTTCTGATTTTTCTTCATTTATTTATATATATCGTTTCGTGCAATGTAACTAAAGTTTTTGAAAGCCAGGGTCTAGCTGGGTTTTCTTAAATATTTTTTATTTTTACATTTTATTTATTTTGTTTACCTTGGAATCTAGAAGTTCGGGACTTTTCTTGCGGACTTTAAACGTCAGCAGAGCCATATTCTTCGGAAGTCCACCATTATGCTACTGTTGCTACTCTAACCTGATTTTCTGATTTTTCTTTATTTATTTATATATATCTTTTCGTGCAATGGAACTAAAGTTTTTGAATGCCAGGGTCTACCCGGATTTTCTTAAATATTTTTTATTTTTTCTTTTTATTTTTTTTGTTTTACCTTGGAATCTAGAAGTTCGGGACTTTTCTTGCGGACTTTAAAAATGAGAAGAGCCATATTCTTCGGAAATCTACCATTATGCTACTGTTGCTACTCTAACCTGATTTTCTGATTTTTCTTTATATATTTATATATATCTTTTCGTGCAATGGTCTTTAGTTCTTGAAAGCCAGGGTCTCTGGCCTGATTTTCTTCTTAAATATTTTTTATTTTTACATTTTAATTTTTTTGTTTTACCTTGGAATATTTTTTGTTCTTGTGACCTGGTCTATGGATCTGTTTTGTCCGGGTGATCCTCGTACCTGATTTTCTTATTTAATATTTTTTCATTTATTCATTTAATTTTTTTCTTATACCTTGGATTCTAATTGAACTCCGTTCCAAGGCAGAGAATTCTTGTTTTTAATATTTTCCCAATGCTCTTATTTAATATTTTTTATTTATTAATTTTATCTTATTTATCCGTCCTTGGAATCTAGAAGTTCAGAATTTTTCTTGTGGACTTTTAACGTGAGAAGAGCCATAATCTTCGGAAATCCACCATTATGCTACTTGCTCTCTATCCTGATTTTCTTATTTAATATATTTTTATTTATTTATTTAATTTTTTTTGTCTTACCTTTGAATATTTTGTGTTCTTGTGACCTGGTCTATGGATCTATTTTGTCCTGGTATTCCTCGTACCTGATTTTCTTATTTAATATTTTTTATTTATTTAATTTTTTCTCATACCTTGGAATCTCTGGCTTTGGTGTTTTTATGGCCTGGTCTTTAATTTGAAGACTCTTTGACATGCCATGTGGCAAATTACCAAAAATTACCACCCAAAACATCAGTTATGTCACCGGAAAACTGACCAAAGTAGTCCAGAGTCCGGACAGAATGTTGTACATACGTGGGCACTTTGAAACCATTACCACACCCCCTCAGACTCAGAGGGTCTTCATTTCATAACCCCAAAACCCGAACCCTTAAAACCCATTCCAAATTCCCAGACCGGATTCAAAAATTTCAATCCCCTCCCCCAACCAACATGGAAATCGTTTTTACCCCTCATGTTATATATTTATATAGCCCTGGCAGAGTTGGCTTTAACTTTTCTACGAAAATTGCTACGCATAATTGCCAGTTTTTACCAAGGGGGGGACTATGAAGGGTATACCCTTAATCCGTTAGAGAAATCTTCCAGTTAGTTGGTGGGCGGTAGAGGCGTGGCCCGTGGTCATGGTCGACATGTGTGCGTCGTTAGTTAGTTAGTTATAACTACATACAATTTTATGGATGCCATATTGTAAATGTTATAATTTTCACTAACAATTTTTAGCAACTGGCTGCCCGCTAGAATATAGAATGGTCGAGTCGGTGGACGGTTGCCAGAGGGGCGTGGCACTGTGTGGGGCAGTGTGGGCGTGTATGAACGATGGGCATACGACGATGATAATTTTCAACAACTTTTCCGCCGAGCGTGTGAAACAAGCTCATTGAGATGGCAAAAGGGCAAAGGCCACAGGGCCAAGAATGGCCTAGAGAGCCCATCTTCTCATTCCTATTTTATTTTTATTTTTTTTTTGCTCTTAAACGTGCTTGGGTTTTTAAAGTATTTTTCTTTTCATTTAAACTGAAAAGCATTTTCTCTGTTTTGTTCATCCAGATTTTACTCGTGTTTTTGGGTTTTTTTTCTGTTTCTATTTCGGGGTTTTAATACTCTAACACTGAGGGGTATAGTTACTACTATATAGCTACTATATAGTATAGTTACTTACTATATACTCTGAGGGGTATAGTTATTATTATAGATATTTTTTGGTATTTTATTTGTGTTGAGTTTAGTGTTTGCTTAGAAATCTATCAACATTAAAGTTAGATATTAAAATATGTTAGTAAAGTCTACAATTTCATATTTAATCGTACCTCTTAGAGTATCTCAACTTCGACTCTTTTCTAAACTTTTCTTTTTTTCTATTCGCCTATTTGTATGTGTTTTTTTTTGCTATTGTCGTTTGGCTTTTTATTTTGCCAGTAATAAAATTTAATACATACACAGTCGCACACAGACACACACTCTTGGCATACTCACACGCACAATTTTACTCAATTATAAAAGTTTCCACATTAAAAGTTCATTGCAGAACCAGAACCAGAACCGAATGCCAGAGAGAGGGGGGCTGGCTTTCCGTGTTGGGTTAGGTCGTGCCCAGTAGTAAGGCCTAGGTCCTGTTTTGTCGCAGGACCTGCGAATGGTCGGTCTGCTCCTCTGATTTTCAATCCCAGTCCTGCAGTTCCTGCAGTCCTTCCTGGCCACCACCTCATCCTTCTACGGCGAGGCAAACAACATCAAAGCCAAAGTGTCCCCGACAGAAAAAGTTACGTGTCGTAGAATGGTTTTTTTTTTTCCAAGCCAGTCTGAGAAGAGTACTGGGGCCTGGGCGGAAAAATGTGGGAAATGTGTCTGCCCCGAAAAAGGTTGTTGTGCCACATGCACATGGACCGGTGGCTCTGGTGGCTCCGGTGGGGGCAGCACATGTTTACCAACTGAATCCTGGTATTATATGTATGTACGTATGTATGTATACATTTTTTTTGTCCTCGTGTTGTCGGCCAGGAAAATGACTTTATCTGCTCCTGCTAATCTGCTCCAGCATCTGCATAGTCCGTCCTGCTAATTAGATTAAGGATCAAGTCCTGGAGGCTGTTAAGCTGCGAATGGGATCACGTAGCAGGACACTCGGTAGTCAAGTGTGACATTGCTAGAAATTCGCAGCTTCCTCATCCATTTAATGGGGTTTACCCCCCCTCCCAGCTCACTAATTCAATTGCCTCTAACTTATGGAGTTGGAAGGCTCGTTTTGGAATCAAAACTATTTGTTTTCCAATATAATGGGTTATCCTTGTCGCGAAAAAAAGGGTTACTCCTTGAAGGAGGAGTCAAAATTCTCTCCACGTCTCTTGGAAAGGTTCTCATAGTACTGCTGATAATCTTTTCCAAAGAAGCTTCCTCCTTATACATTGAGGAACCTTTTAGACTAAATCCTGCTCCAAACCCTGTCCCGGGCATCGTAAAAATGCCTCAATTTCATCAGTCGATCGATCGATCGATGTCTTTAATAAATCACTATCTAAACTATAACTGCCTCTGTCTAGGAAGTGAAACCTTAGTTATAGTGATAACCAGATGGCAATAAACTGCCTTATCTGGATGACCTGCATCAATGAAACACCTGATTTTCAACAAGTACTAGTTCTTTTCAAAACAATCTGTGAAAAGTCGAAGTCATATAAGTAATAATAGGGATTTGGAGGCAAATCCATAGATGCACCATTGCATAAACTTGAAACTGTTATGATGATACAATGATAAGGATCAGATAATCTTATCAGTAGGAAACTATTCAGATAATGACACACTTCGTAAATGACAATAATTTTAAAGAATATTATAAGATAGTGCTAAGAGTTATCAGATAGCCTGATACTCTGAAAAATTTATTAAAGGTGCCTGAAAGTATGTTACAATAAAACAGATTAAGATTTGGAGGATGGTTCTTTGAAGAATTTTAAAGATTTTAGCTTCGAAAGTGAACCTCTTCAATGCATACTTTCTTCTTAAAGAGCCTTGATATCTTAAAAATCTTCAGAAGCTCCCGACTATAATAATACCCATAACTACCCACAAAAAGACTGAAAAGTTTGAATTAATTTTTTTTTATTATAATAAACAGATTTTACAAAAAAAAAAAAAAAAAAAAAGGGGTTAAACTATATAGACTGAATGATTAACGATATGACTTACATATATATCCACTATCCACAGTGGACTTTGGTGTTTCCCTTTTGAGGGATTAGTGTCCACTGCAGTTACAATTTATGGCTTATGGCTATCCAAAGGTCACCCTACCGTCGAGGGCCCTCGACCAAGGTGCTTCGCCAACAGCGTTTCAAGTATTCCTATTATTTGCCAGCACTTAAGATTAGAAACAGACTTGGAGTGCCACCGATCTCACTTGCGAGCTGCATTTTGGGCTACGAAGACGTCGCGTGCCACCTTTCGCATTGTCTTGCCATTGACATTGGCTGGCAGCTTGTCCGTAAAGACGACTCCGGCCCGGAGCTGCTTCTGGGTGGCGGGAAGCTTCTTGGCCACATGATCCGCTATCTCCTGGGCCGTGACATTGGCACCCTTAGCCTTCACCACCAGAGCACCAGCAGCATCGCCCTCCCGCTCATCGTAGATGCCCACCACGCAGACGTCCTGCACCTGCGGCATCTCCGTGATGACGCTTTCGATCTCGGTGGGCCAGTAATGGAGTCCCTGGTACTTGAGGATCTCCTTCTTCCGGTCCACTATATACAGGAAGTTCTGATCATCAAAGTAGCCCAGGTCGCCGGTGTGGAACCATCCCTCAAAGTCCTGCATGCGGCGTGTCTCGACGGGATTGCCGTAGTAACCGTTCCACGCCTGGCCCGTATGGACATAGATCTCGCCCACCTCATTGTAGCCCAGATTCCGGCCATCCTCATCCACAATACGGATTTTAATGCCCGGTATGGGCCTTCCGGCTGACGCAACATTGCTGATTCCGATATTGATGGTGATGGCGCCCACCTCCGTCATTCCATACCCAGAATTGAGCATGGCGCTCTTGCAGATCTGCTGGGATTTCTGCAGGGTAGACGCGGAAACTGAACCGCCGCCATAATTGAGGAGCGTGATGGGCGATAGGGCCTCGGGAGTAGCATCCGGGCAGCTAATCATGGCCGAAAGATGACGCGGTGGCAGTACAGCGTAGTTGATCTTGTACTTCTTTACCAGACTGACGAAATATTCGGGACTAAAGGGCTTGTTGCTAATGATGCGAGTGCATCCGAAAACGGTGCTGAACACAAAGGCCCACAGTCCGGTGATCCAGTCCAGGCAACTTCCAATATAAATCACCGATTCGCTGGTAATCAGCCTGCAATTACAAAGTTTTAAATATTTAAAAATAATTCATAATAATATTATATTCTTAATCTTACATGCTATCCTGAATCAAAATGCTATTGGAAATGCACACAGCCTTGGGCAGGCCAGTGGTTCCCGAAGAGCACAGAATAGCCACTGTCTGGTCACCATCCCTCAGGGGTTCCGGCCTAAAAAAAGCCACAATTTGTAACTCATTAGGTGGCTGGACACTCATTCCACTCACTGATAAATCCTTTCCGTGGTGGTGGGATCCAGAAGAGTCTCAATGCTGGACACTCCCTCGATATGATCAGTTAGGGTGAAGATCTCCGGATGCCATCCTTTGGTGGCCTCATGGATCTTCTCGTACTCGTGGCCATCACAGAATATCAGAGTTGGCTTGGTGATCGAGAAGACATGTGTCAGTGTACCTAGACCGCAAAAGTAACCCATTATTTTTTTTAATCAAGAGACCTCCATACCGCCGGACTCACCTTGATCGAGTACAGGATTCACTGCGTGGAAGGGTGTGGCATTCATCAGACATGCCACACCCAGGGGCATTACATAGGTTGAGTTCTTGGCGGCAATTCCAATGACATCCTTGTAGTTAAGACCGCGCTTCTTCAGGTACTGGGCTATGCGAATGGCCCAGGTGAGTCCTTTCTCGAAAGTGACAGCCACTCCATCCACATCGCATATCTGGAGATTGGGGACGGGTGACATAATCGAATTTCTCTACAAATCCTGGAGCTTACCTGGCAGACGTTCTTTGGCCAGTTACGCATGTTATTAAATATAATCCTGCCAACGGAGGTGTCATATTTGTAAATGGGATTCCGCTTGGCTCCGCTCCAGACGTTATCCTTTTCGCTGTAGCTCACGGGTATCATGGCCATGGTTTCGGTGCTTCAAGTACGTGAGTGGTGTCTCCGATGTAGTGGACTGTGCTGGTCGCAGACAAGTGCAGGGCTATTTATAGTCATTCAGACCTCTGAAAATCCACGTTCGATAGAGACGCTCCATGCTGGCACCTTGAGTGGATCCGCTGCAAGTGGCTAACACCTGTAATATCTTATCTGAGCCTTCAGCAGATAGTGCGCCAAATGTCTATCTAATCACATGCGAATTCATTAAATTCTAAATCGAAACAAAAGGAAATCCCTAGTCCACCACAGATAATTGGCCATTAACAAGGGCTGTAAATAGGGGAACACTAGTTGCTGTTTACACCTGACCATATCTCTGCCTCAAATCACGCGAACTGTCCAGGAAATGGAGGAGTGTAGCCACCACTGCCCGTCTTTATGGCCCGTCAGATTGGCTTGCTATCAAAACAATAGAGTCATTGATTTCTTAATCCCATTCAGTTCCTAGCGAAATTCTCTATCCAAGGGGTACCCCCATAAAATCAGGGTTTTCGCGATTTCGGCACTTTTTCTCCTTCCGATGGCCATTTCTCTTCCAATTTGTATCCGATCAGGAAACAAAGTACCATTTAGTAATCAGGGAACTCAAAAGCTACTTTCCTCATTCAAAACATTGCGGAAATATCGTTTTTAAATTTTTTGAATTTTTTCCTAGGGGTACCCCTGCAAAATTGTGGGTTTCCCGATTTTGACACTTTTTCTCCTTCCGATGGCCATTTCTCTTCCAATTTGTATCCGATCAGGAAACAAAGTACCATTTAGTAATCAGGGAACTCAAAAGCTACTTTCCTTATTCAAAACATTGCCCTAATGTCGTTTTTAAATTTTTCGAATTTTTCCTAGGGGTACCCCTGCAAAATTGTGGGTTTTCGCGATTTTGACACTTTTTCTCCTTCCGATGGCCAAGGCTCTTCCAATTTGTACCCGATCAGGAAACAAAGTACCATTTAGTAATCAGGGAACTCAAAAGCTACTTTCCTTATTCAAAACATTGCGGAAATATGGTTTTTAAATTTTTCGAATTTTTTCCTAGGGGTACCCCTGCAAAATTGTGGGTTTTCGCGATTTTGACACTTTTTCTCCTTCCGATGGCCATTTCTCTTCCAATTTGTATCCGATCAGGAAACAAAGTACCATTTAGTAATCAGGGAACTCAAAAGCTACTTTCCTCATTCAAAACATTGCGGAAATATCGTTTTTAAATTTTTTGAATTTTTTCCTAGGGGTACCCCTGCAAAATTGTGGGTTTCCCGATTTTGACACTTTTTCTCCTTCCGATGGCCATTTCTCTTCCAATTTGTATCCGATCAGGAAACAAAGTACCATTTAGTAATCAGGGAACTCAAAAGCTACTTTCCTCATTAAAAACATTGCCCTAATATCGTTTTTAAATTTTTCGAAATTTTTCCTAGGGGTACCCCTGCAAAATTGTGGGTTTTCGCGATTTTGACACTTTTTCTCCTTCCGATGGCCATTTCTCTTCCAATTTGTATCCGATCAGGAAACAAAGTACCATTTAGTAATCAGGGAACTCAAAAGCTACTTTCCTCATTCAAAACATTGCGGAAATATCGTTTTTAAATTTTTCGAATTTTTTCCTAGGGGTACCCCTGCAAAATTGTGGGTGTTCGCGATTTTGACACTTTTTCTCCTTCCGATGGCCATTTCTCTTCCAATTTGTATCCGATCAGGAAACAAAGTACCATTTAGTAATCAGGGAACTCAAAAGCTACTTTCCTCATTAAAAACATTGCCCTAATATCGTTTTTAAATTTTTCGAAATTTTTCCTAGGGGTACCCCTGCAAAATTGTGGGTTTTCGCGATTTTGACACTTTTTCTCCTTCCGATGGCCATTTCTCTTCCAATTTGTATCCGATCAGGAAACAAAGTACCATTTAGTAATCAGGGAACTCAAAAGCTACTTTCCTCATTCAAAACATTGCGGAAATATCGTTTTTAAATTTTTCGAATTTTTTCCTAGGGGTACCCCTGCAAAATTGTGGGTTTTCGCGATTTTGACACTTTTTCTCCTTCCGATGGCCATTTCTCTTCCAATTTGTATCCGATCAGGAAACAAAGTACCATTTAGTAATCAGGGAACTCAAAAGCTACTTTCCTTATTCAAAACATTGCCCTAATATCGTTTTTAAATTTTTCGAATTTTTTCCTAGGGGTACCCCTGCAAAATTGTGGGTTTTCGCGATTTTGACACTTTTTCTCCTTCCGATGGCCATTTCTCTTCCAATTTGTATCCGATCAGGAAACAAAGTACCATTTAGTAATCAGGGAACTCAAAAGCTACTTTCCTTATTCAAAACATTGCCCTAATATCGTTTTTAAATTTTTCGAATTTTTTCCTAGGGGTACCCCTGCAAAATTGTGGGTTTTCGCGATTTTGACACTTTTTCTCCTTCCGATGGCCATTTCTCTTCCAATTTGTATCCGATCAGGAAACAAAGTACCATTTAGTAATCAGGGAACTCAAAAGCTACTTTCCTTATTCAAAACATTGCCCTAATATCGTTTTTAAATTTTTCGAATTTTTTCCTAGGGGTACCCCTGCAAAATTGTGGGTTTTCGCGATTTTGACACTTTTTCTCCTTCCGATGGCCATTTCTCTTCCAATTTGTATCCGATCAGGAAACAAAGTACCATTTAGTAATCAGGGAACTCAAAAGCTACTTTCCTTATTCAAAACATTGCCCTAATGTCGTTTTTAAATTTTTCGAATTTTTTCCTAGGGGTACCCCTGCAAAATTGTGGGTTTTCGCGATTTTGACACTTTTTCTCCTTCCGATGGCCATTTCTCTTCCAATTTGTATCCGATCAGGAAACAAAGTACCATTTAGTAATCAGGGAACTCAAAAGCTACTTTCCTCATTCAAAACATTGCGGAAATATCGTTTTTAAAATTTTCGAATTTTTTCCTAGGGGTACCCCTGCAAAATTGTGGGTTTTCGCGATTTTGACACTTTTTCTCCTTCCGATGGCCATTTCTCTTCCAATTTGTATCCGATCAGGAAACAAAGTACCATTTAGTAATCAGGGAACTCAAAAGCTACTTTCCTTATTCAAAACATTGCCCTAATGTCGTTTTTAAATTTTTCGAATTTTTTCCTAGGGGTACCCCTGCAAAATTGTGGGTTTTCGCGATTTTGACACTTTTTCTCCTTCCGATGGCCATTTCTCTTCCAATTTGTATCCGATCAGGAAACAAAGTACCATTTAGTAATCAGGGAACTCAAAAGCCACTTTCCTCATTAAAAACATTGCCCTAATGTCGTTTTTAAATTTTTCGAATTTTTCCTAGGGGTACCCCTGCAAAATTGTGGGTTTTCGCGATTTTGACACTTTTTCTCCTTCCGATGGCCAAGGCTCTTCCAATTTGTACCCGATCAGGAAACAAAGTACCATTTAGTAATCAGGGAACTCAAAAGCTACTTTCCTTATTCAAAACATTGCGGAAATATGGTTTTTAAATTTTTCGAATTTTTTCCTAGGGGTACCCCTGCAAAATTGTGGGTTTTCGCGATTTTGACACTTTTTCTCCTTCCGATGGCCATTTCTCTTCCAATTTGTATCCGATCAGGAAACAAAGTACCATTTAGTAATCAGGGAACTCAAAAGCTACTTTCCTCATTAAAAACATTGCCTTAATATCGTTTTTAAATTTTTCGAAATTTTTCCTAGGGGTACCCCTGCAAAATTGTGGGTTTTCGCGATTTTGACACTTTTTCTCCTTCCGATGGCCATTTCTCTTCCAATTTGTATCCGATCAGGAAACAAAGTACCATTTAGTAATCAGGGAACTCAAAAGCTACTTTCCTCATTCAAAACATTGCGGAAATATCGTTTTTAAATTTTTCGAATTTTTTCCTAGGGGTACCCCTGCAAAATTGTGGGTGTTCGCGATTTTGACACTTTTTCTCCTTCCGATGGCCATTTCTCTTCCAATTTGTATCCGATCAGGAAACAAAGTACCATTTAGTAATCAGGGAACTCAAAACCCACTTTCCTCATTAAAAACATTGCCCTAATGTCGTTTTTAAATTTTTCGAATTTTTCCTAGGGGTACCCCTGCAAAATTGTGGGTGTTCGCGATTTTGACACTTTTTCTCCTTCCGATGGCCATTTCTCTTCCAATTTGTATCCGATCAGGAAACAAAGTACCATTTAGTAATCAGGGAACTCAAAGCTACTTTCCTCATTCAAAACATTGCGGAAATATCGTTTTTAAATTTTTCGAATTTTTCCTAGGGGTACCCCTGCAAAATTGTGGGTGTTCGCGATTTTGACACTTTTCTCCTTCCGATGGCCATTTCTCTTCCAATTTGTATCCGATCAGGAAACAAAGTACCATTTAGTAATCAGGGAACTCAAAAGCTACTTTCCTCATTAAAAACATTGCCCTAATATCGTTTTTAAATTTTTCGAAATTTTTCCTAGGGGTACCCCTGCAAAATTGTGGGTTTTCGCGATTTTGACACTTTTTCTCCTTCCGATGGCCATTTCTCTTCCAATTTGTATCCGATCAGGAAACAAAGTACCATTTAGTAATCAGGAAACTCAAAAGCTACTTTCCTCATTCAAAACATTGCGGAAATATCGTTTTTAAATTTTTCGAATTTTTTCCTAGGGGTACCCCTGCAAAATTGTGGGTGTTCGCGATTTTGACACTTTTTCTCCTTCCGATGGCCATTTCTCTTCCAATTTGTATCCGATCAGGAAACAAAGTACCATTTAGTAATCAGGGAACTCAAAAGCTACTTTCCTCATTAAAAACATTGCCCTAATATCGTTTTTAAATTTTTCGAAATTTTTCCTAGGGGTACCCCTGCAAAATTGTGGGTTTTCGCGATTTTGACACTTTTTCTCCTTCCGATGGCCATTTCTCTTCCAATTTGTATCCGATCAGGAAACAAAGTACCATTTAGTAATCAGGGAACTCAAAAGCTACTTTCCTCATTCAAAACATTGCGGAAATATCGTTTTTAAATTTTTCGAATTTTTTCC